GAGTAATAAAATATATACGAGAGCTACGATATCTACGAGATGTATCCCTTTGTGTGTAAAGCGCATGTGTAATAAATCAGGTGATCCTTGGATAAATTTCAGGTCTAATACTAACGGCAGTTTTAGTCTGATACCCTTATGATTCTGCCGGAAAGTGCATATGTTCACAAAAATGCAGGTAAGTTTGCTTGTAAGACGGTGTAAGGGATAGATTTCCAAAATAAAAAAAAACCATCCGACTAATGAGAACCAGTTTCTATAAATTTGATAATTTGTCACATATGCATACGGTAATACGTAGTACTGTCACATGATCTGCGTCATTTGTAATTCAGACTAAAATGAAAGCAGTGAATGATCCTATATTAGGGTCCGATGTTGCATAACGTTCCCAGAATAAATCTAAGTCACGAGTATTGGTAATATCAGTATACTTATATAAAATTGAGTCCACGTTTTAGTTTAGCAAAGTCCCTTTGGCTGCTCAATTAAGTAATTACGTATATTTGAATCTACAAATTTTTTTCTGATGAGACAAATAATATGATAGAGTCTTGTGTATCAGTTTAAAAAAAAAAAAAAAAGAGTACATACTTTTTTAAGTTAGGCGGAGATATAAAAAGACAAAAAAAATTCCGAAACAAGTTTTTACACAAGGGTATTTATTCTTATCTTTATTTTTATTTTTTTCATGAAAAAACGTCAAAAGATGTTTGATTAACTCAAAATCTAAGCTTAACATTATTTTATTTAACATTTTAGAATACTTTATTATAATTCTTATGTACTTATTAAATAGAAAGCCGATACAACTAGTGTGTTCGACTAGGAATTTTAACAAAGGTATGCGTAAGCATTTCGAAAGTTACCTTGATTTCTTTTTTTATAAAGATTCATATCTCTCTATTTGACACTTTAGCTTCTAGAATGTTCAAATAGATTATTGATTTTTAAATATCTATTACGTAATTAGAATCTTTTAGAGAATAAAGTAGAACAAAAATTATAATTCTTTTTTATTTCACATGGCTTCTCGTTTGTATACGGATTGTCTTGTCAAAATATTTTCGTTTCTTAGAGATGATCATGCATCATTGCATTCTTGTGCGCTAGTAAATCACTTATGGTGTCAAAACGCAATTCCATTTCTGTGGGAAGATCCTTTGGATAGCAAAAAATTGGATGGAAGAAATGAGAAGCAAAAAAGATATGCTCTTATCAATACGTATATTACAGGTCTTCCGCAAGTGTCGCATAAAGTACTCAAAGGCGAGAAGATCATGTTACCACCAGTCACGAAATCTCCGACATTCGAATATGCATCATATTTACGTAAATTGGATTTAAAATTCTTTTTCATCGCCATACAATCATGGACTGTGTGTTACGATAAGCAGACTAAAATGACTTTTACGGGAGGCCAGATAGTGCTAATTATTCAAGAATTATTACGACATCTATTTATTTTATCCCCACGTATTTTAGTTCTTAGAGTAAATGTTGATAAAATAGGTGCCATTATTGTAGATATCCTCCAAAATGTCCCTGAAGCAAGAAAATGTTTAACAAGCTTAAAAGAATTTACGTATTTTGCGGAACATCCGACCATGGAAATCCTTTTTTCTCAAATTGCCCAGCTTACTGGCAACATCGAACGTTTTGACCTTTCAATTTATGGTCATACTGAACAACTGATAAATATGATAAAAGTTCAGAGACTTTTTAAAGAACTCATCATTAACAATAGAACAAATTCACCGTTAGGTTTCAAGTTTTGGGTTGACACTGACGCAGGTTCTATAATCTCTAAGAAAGCATCAACTGTTACTTACTTGGAAATTGAGAATATATCTTTCCCATTTCAAGCACTTTCGCACTTTACTAATTTAGTGGAATTAAATATGTTTTATTGTGGATCTTATAGCTTGCATGATTGGACACCTTTATATGATGTACATTTGAAAAAACTCGAGAAGATTTCATACAAGAATCGACATTCTCTTTATCTGGAATCCTTCGGCAAGTTTTTGGGTAATGCTGGCATAAACCTAAGTTCTATTACAATTCGTTGTTGTACAATTTGTGATCCAGAACAATCACATTTACTCTTTACGTCAATTGCGGCTAATTGTCCAAATCTTATACATTATGATGGACCAATTGGATCTGATAATGCTTCTGAATTTGGGCAAATGCTTTATGCGTGTTCCCATATTGAAACATTATGTCTCCAACCCTCAAATAAGTGTTGTAGAGTTGCGGAAAATCGAACAGATTTTAATCCACTTCTTAGAAAGATTACGATTAAACAACCGTGGAATATAAGAAAATTAACCATCATTCACGGATGGAAATTTACAACTGATGTGTTTGAAAACTTTTTACAAAGCAGACAAAGAATTTCAAAAAAGATTGCATTTTATTGGAACGAATGTGATGTCGTTGGTAGTTTTGAGTATTTCAAGTTAACTAAAAGAGTAGCATATGTTAATTATGCTATACTTATACCCAAGTTGGTAAAGATTTTTACCAGTTTTCTTCAAAGCCTTACAGGGAAGAATTAGATAATTGATATTATATTGATCAATCTTTGAAATACTTATTCTTACCAAATTATCAACTTGAATATTGACAAGCTTTTTTCATGTTGGTCATGTTTTTTCAATGAATGTTAAGCTGGTCGTATTTAAATAATAATAGATCAGGGTGAAACCTGAGTTGCGAAATAGTGAAGTCCACCTTGTAGATTTGATTAGGGAAATCCGCGTTTTATTATGTTTTTTATATATAAAAGCGGATCTCACCCTCGTGTGATAGCGGATTTCACTATTTCGCAACTCAAGGTTTCACCCTGTTGTAAAATAATTATTATTCATCGTCCTTAATTGATCAATCGTCTGGTTATCATGGTTTTTTGAGTCAATTTTTTTAATGTATTTTTTTGGAGTTAGGATTTGGGATTAGTAATGGTAAATGTTAGTATATCCACATCAAGCATAGTGTTATTAGACGATTAGGAGTTAGTCGACTTACCGTCTTAAGCTTGTTACAAATTTACGAAAAGCCATAACATTACCACCAATCGCGAGATTCCGACCTTATAATAACCTTTTTCTAAAAATTTCTCTTCGAATTTTAGAATTTATTTTTGCTTCTTTTATTATTCCAGTCATTCTCCTATATAATCACGCGGTTTGTTCCAAGCAAAAATGGGATTATCTTCTATATCTATCTATATCTATATCTTATATTTAAAAAAATTGGATTTCT